GCACCATGCGCTACTGCACTGGACCAGCCAGGCTGCACCTGCTGCACCATGCGCTACTGCAACGGACCAGCCAGGCTGCACCTGCTGCACCGCGCACTGCTGCAACAGACCAGCCAGGCTGCACCTGCTGCACCGCGCACTGCTGCAACGGACCAGCCAGGCTGCACCTGCTGCACCGCGCGCTGCTGCACCGCACCAGCCAGGCTGCATCTGCTGCGCCATGCACTGCTGCAGCGGACCAGCCAGGCTGCGGCTGCTGCACCGCGCGCTGCTGCACTGGACCAGCCAGGCTGCACCTGCTGCACCGCGCACTGCTGCACCGGACCAGCCAGGCTGCACCTGCTGCACCATGCGCTACTGCAACGGACCAGCCAGGCCGCACCTGCTGCACCATGCACTGCTGCAGCGGACCAGCCAGGCTGCACCTGCTGCACCGCGCGCTGCTGCAATGGACCAGCCAGGCTGCACCTGCTGCACAATGCACTGCTGCAACGGACCAGCCAGGCTGCACCTGCTGCACCGCGTGCTGCTGCAACGGACCAGCCAGGCTGCACCTGCTGCACCGCGTGCTGCTGCAACGGACCAGCCAGGCTGCACCTGCTGCACCGCGCACTGCTGCAACGGACCAGCCAGGCTGCACCTGCTGCACTGCGCACTGCTGCAGCGGACCAGCCAGGCTGCACCTGCTGCACCATGCACTGCTGCAACAGACCAGCCAGGCTGCACCGCGCACTGCTGCAGCGGACCAGCCAGGCTGCATCTGCTGCGCCATGCACTGCTGCAATGGACCGTCCAGGCTGCACCTGCTGCACCGCGCACTGCTGCAACAGACCAGCCAGGCTGCACCTGCTGCACCGTGCGCTGCTGCAACAGACCAGCCAGGCCGGGCCAGGCCGGGCCAGGCCAGGCCCAGCGCCCGCGCTTGGCACCCGCCCAGCTCCTCTTTCACCCACATACCAGGTTATTTATAGCCGCTGCCGAGCGCGTGTTGTGCTGCGCTGCGCTGGGCTGGGCTGGGCTGTGTGCACTGGGCTGCACTGCGCTGGGCTTTGTGTGCTGCACTGTGCTGCGTGTGCTGTGCTGTGCTGTGCTGCGCTGTGCTGCATGCACTGCACTGTGCTGCGTGTGCTGTGCTGCACTGCACTGGGCTGGGCTGGGCTGTGTGCACTGGGCTGCACTGCGCTGGGCTGTGTGTGCTGCACTGTGCTGTGCTGCACTGCACTGGGCTGTGTGTGCTGCACTGTGCTGTGCTGCACTGTGCTGTGCTGCATGCACTGCACTGTGCTGCGTGTGCTGTGCTGCACTGCACTGGGCTGGGCTGGGCTGTGTGCACTGGGCTGTGCTGGGCTGTGTGTGCTGCACTGTGCTGTGCTGCATGCACTGCACTGTGCTGCGTGTGCTGCACTGCACTGGGCTGTGTATGCTGAACTGTGCTGCGCTGCACCATGCT